GTTGTCAAATAGCTACATTCTAGGTTTTGGAAAAGAGGGGAGGAAGAACTGCTTCTTTAGTAAAAGGCTCATTTGTGATTCTCATTCTTTTTATTCCAAAAACATTTATTCCAGACTTGGGGATTATTTTTATTAAGTGCCTTTTGAATTTCAAAAGAAGATTAAAGAAACCCACATAATATAATGAATTTGGAAACTTTATCACTTTAATATAAATTTAAAGACTAAGTGTTTTATTCTTAGTGACAAATGCAGAATGCATAGTTGAGAATTTGGGGCATGACATGGTTGATTTCAGGCAAGATTTTTTATTTCTTCTCTAAAACTGAATAGCTGAAGATCTGTGTAATTGTGATGTAAAACATGGGATTAAAATGGCAATGTATTACAATTACATTGTCTTATAATTATACATGTTGGTGTCTTTTATGACATGGTAATAGCAGGAGTCAGATAATCTAAAAATTATATAAACCTATGGAAAGACTTCCATTTGAAATTTCAGGTATGGTTTAAAGGTTTAAATGCATTTTCCAGTTTTTTTTTTAAAGCTTAATTATATTTTATTTTTATATATATTGATTATATTTTATAACATTCCTAACTGGCTTTAGGCAAAACTTCAAGAATCTGTATTTACGTATTATTCTTTGTTAACCAAGTGAAATTGTAATGTACCCGATCATTCTTTAATCTCCCTGCAGGAAAATTAAAAATTCTAGCTAGTACTGGGTAAGAAAGAGAAAAGTAGCCCCTGACATCCAGGAGCTGGCCTATACCATCAGCTGGTCTTGGTGCTGCTACAAGCTGGCCTGGCACCCACAGCTAGGCCTTAGTGTTCTCCTGCTGAACAAGAATAATTTCAGAGACCACCAACATCAGACAAGGCCACTCTGTGACCGTGATGGATCAAGACAAAACCAAGACCACTCCACAGTCACATCTAAACACAGACAGAAAATGAACCTTGTCCAGCCACAAAATGTCAAACACCCCCCTCTCCTGGCTCACAGAAGTGACAGCTGCTTCTCTCCCCATTTATAGGTATAGACTCACTCTAGTCTGTTCTCTCTATAATGAGATTTATTAAGATACCCAGTCGTAGAAGTACCCCTACTTCCTGATAGTACCCAATCCAGAGCAAAGCCCTGCTTCCTTAATCACTCCCACAATTACTTAACACAAGCCCAAATCCTATAATAAGTCTTTTCTAACACCTGCTTCATTAGACATCCCACAGTTGCTTAGGGTGTGTTTTTCCCTTGCTGCAAATGAATAATAAACTAGCTTGTTTAATCCAAAAAAAAAAAAAAAAAAATCAAGATGACCCAAGGGACCAAATTATATTTTAAAAATCTATTTTTATATTGTTCAAATCATAGAGTCACACAGTGCTACATAAATAATCAGCTCATTACAAACTTGATGTCAATTAATGTAAGTGATTAAAATTCCAATTGTGCGGTCAGTAGTTTTGATTATAATCATTATGTTTACAATAGATGGAAAAAAAGAAATAATATTTTTAAATGTATGCATATCCCATAAGATCAACTTTTATCTTGCCACTTACTATAATTGAGTCATTTGTGAAATAGCAAACAAATTAGGCTAACTAGGAGCTGTTGACAAATGAAAAATGACAGCAAAATTGTAGAGTCTATGTAAATGGGGCTTAACATCCAGACGAAAGTCATATAAAAACATTCAGTCATTTGTATATTTCTAAATATTCCAACGTTTTATAAAAGCAGCTAACTATAGATCTTATACAGCCACCACAGTGTAGCATAAACTGCTAAATGCCAAATTTCAATTAATAATGAAGTAGTGGGTGCCTGATGTAATTAGAGAGTCCTAGACCATGAGATCCAGGGTCTGGGCTCAGTTCTAGGATAAACAAGCTGAATTTGACTTTAGTCAAGTCTTAGACATAAATTGCCAGAGGTAAAAGGGCCTTACAGATCAGCTAGCCAAGTTTTGCATTATAGTTAAGGAAACTGAGGCTCGGAGAGGTAAAGTGACTAAGGCACAATCACACGTATAGTTAATGGCGGGACCAGAACCAGAATCAGTGCCACCAACACCCAGTCTCAGACTCTGGTTCCTGCTCCATTTCTCCTTGAGAATGATTCTTCATTTATATGGTGAGGACAACCATCTACATTTGCTTCTTACTCATGGAGGTACTGGGATGATGACTGGAAATAACTGGTGTGAGTGACGCATTTTGTGACTTGGACGGTGTTCGTGTTCTGTGTTCAGACAGTTATGATTATGGAGTAGTCTTGTTTTTGTCTTGGTCCCACCATAGTCTGTTTTTATTTAAATGAATTCAATGAAATAACTAAGTATTTGAAGGGTGGATGCAGTATTAAGGAAAATTCTCTTGCCTGCTTTTAGAAATTCTCCCAATGCTAGGGGTTTTAAGCAAGTAGTACACGCACTGTGTTTCTCAATGGAAACAGTATTGGCATTTGAGGTAGAACAATTCTTCCCCAATGTAGGGTTGCCTTCCCCACATTGCAGGATATAAAATATACACTTGGCCCCTGGATACTCAATGGTAGCAGCACCTCCTGGTCAGGGCTGGCCCTAGGGTGAGGCGATTTAAAACATCAAAATTAATGCAAGCCAGGAAAATTAATGTAATCCCAGCACTTTCGGAGGCTGAGGGGGGTGGATTACCTGAGGTCAGGAGTTCAAGACCAGCCTGGCCAACATAGCGAAACTCCGTCTCTACTAAAAATACAAAAATTAGCTGGGTGTAGTGGTGGGCGCCTGAAGTCCCAGCTACTCGGGAGGCTCAGACAGGAGAATCACTTGAACCTGGGAGGCGGAGGTTGCAGTGAACCAAGATCGTGCCACTGCACTCCAGCCTGGGTAACAGAGCAAGATTCCACCTCAAAAAATAAAATAAAACAAAAATAATGCAAAATATCCAGGAGGAACAAAATATCAAAATGCCAAATTTTTAATAAAGATTGGATCAGTGTTACTGATTTTTCCTTTTGCCTCAGGCTCCAATATAACTTCCATGGCACAGTTACTGATCTTGTCTTTAATTAAAATGTTGGCATTTTGTTCATCATGAATTTCTGGCATTAATTTGATTTTTTTTAAACATTATACTAGCTTAATAATAACTAGATAATAATAAAATATTACCTAGCTTAATTGCTGAGTGTGGGGGTACCCCTTAAATGTTGCACCGAAGGCAAGTGCCTCACTTGCCTTACCCTAGTCCGGCCGTGCTCCTGATCATTGTGACAACCCAAAACACCTCCACATATTTCCAAATACCTTGCTAGGTTGAGAATCTCTGAAATATGGCTTGATTTTTCTCATATAACTACAAGTCCGAAGAGAGGCAGCCTCGGCCTTAAACAGTGGCTCCATGATGCCAGCAAGGACCTAGGTTTCCTTTATCTCTGTCAGGCTCACAAGATGGCTGCTGTGCCCTAGGAATTATGTCCTAGTGTAACCACACCAGACTAATCTAGTTCAACTTTTATATAACAAAATCGTGAGTTGTTTTTCAGTTGCCGTGAACCCCAGGGTCGAAGGTCATACAACCCAAGCATGACCAGTTGAACCAAGTGTGCACAGGTGAAATCTAAGTGCTTGGACCAAGGAACAGGGACTGAATTAAGAAATGGACCCTATATGGCAGGATCCAGGAACCAAAGAGATCACGCTCTGGTGTCACCCCATAGCAGGATCCAGTTAGATTATGCCTCCCAGCATCAACTCATTGCAAGATGCAATCAGATCACACCTCATTACACTATGCTTATGAAACCTGACCCAGCCCCCAGCTCCAGGAGACAGGTTTGAGCGTTTCCTCCTGTCTCCTTGCCAATCAACTCAATAAACCTTTCTTGCTGAAAAAACCTTGTGTTTTGGCGTTCGGCTTTCCCTTACATGCAGGTAAATGGACCCAGTTTGGTTCGGTAACACTAGTTCCAGACAGGAAAAACAAAAGGAGGGCAAAAGGCAAGGAAATCATACCCGCTGAGCCTGTTTTCATTAGAAAAATAGTAACTTTCCCAGGAGCCCCACCCAATAAACCTTTATGCATATATCATTGGCCAAAAGTGAGTCATGCGGCCAGCCCTAGCTGCAAGGAGCCTGGGGAGGTAACACATTTAAGTGGGCACAATTCCAGCCTGCATAAAACTGTTCTGCCCATAAGAAGGAAGGGTAGAATGCACAAAGGATAAACAGCTAGAAGTGTCTGCCACAGGGGCCATGCGGGATAACAAATACTGGCTCCTTTTCGTGATTGCAAATGACCTTTTCTCTGCTTGTAATGTGATTGTCTACTTGAGCAAGGCATTTTGGTCGTTGCTTTCAGAATTACGGATTAAAACCTGGAATGTTGTCTTAGGTTGGGTTCCATAGAGGAAGAGCTTGAAAACAGGGATTTTAGTGCATGTGATTTATTAAGGGCAGACTCTTGGGAGAAACCTGTAAGAGTGCGAGGGAAGCGGCAAAGGAAATGAGCCGCGCAAGCAAGGATGCATTCTCAGGTCAAGTGTAGCCTTGGCCTGATGCACGAGGGGCTATGGAGCCGGAATCATAGCAAAGAATTATCCCTCCTTCAGGCAAGGAAGCTGGGTTTTTTTTACCCTTGATAAATCAGTTATTAGCTGCCCCCTCTTGGTGGAAAGGGGCCAGTGTAACCTCCCAGGTGTCTCTGAGAGATGCAACGCCCATCAGCCAAGAGCAAGGCTCCAGAGAGGGTTACAGGTGTGAGCTGTTTGTCAAAGCATTTGTCACAGCTGGGGGTGGGGGAGCACCACCCCAGCATGGATCTGGGTGGGCACAAAGAGCATCTACTATAAATATTAATTTTAATACACTTTCCAAAGAACCGCCTTTATTTTTACTTTGTATTATTTGAGAGCATAATGCTAGATATATTGCTAGGATTAAAAGCTACTGGAAAAACTGGCAACAAGTTGAAAATCTCTCTTTTTTTTTTTTTTTTTTTTGGCCTTTCTTCATTTTAATGTTGTATAAATATAAGGACCATATAATCTAGATTAACTTTAGGTAACAATAACTTAAAAGATGGGAAAATGTATCATATTACAGAGATTTAAAAATTGACTATACCATAAATGATGAAGAAAACTTAACAATAGAACAGGACAATGTTCAAATAGTGAATACAGTTAACAAATGGAGCCAAAAGATCAACATTTATCTCTCATCATCTTTCATGCAATGTCTCAGCTTTCTTCTTCCAAACATAAAGGCAGATTAATTCTAAGTAGCCCTATAAAGAATATTTGTTTATCACGCCTGTAATCCCAGCACTTTGGGAGGCCGAAGTGGGTGGATCACCTGAGGTCAGGAGTTCAAGACCAGCCTGACCAATGTGGTGAAACTCCGTCTCTACTAAAAATACAAAAATTACCCGGGTGTGGTGGCACATACCTGCAGTCCCAGTTACTCGGGAGGCTGAGACTGGAGAATTGCTTGAACCCAGGAGGTGGAGGTTGCAGTGAGCTGAAATCGCACCACTGCACTCCAGCCTGGGCGACAAAAAAAAAAAAAAAAAAAAAATTCTGTTTCCTTCTGAACTTATTATTTGAATGGAAACCATATTAATAACTCATGGTTTCCTACTGAAGTTTAAGATTCCCCTAGATAATACTCAGATTTAGACAATGCTAGAATAAGACACTGGGTGATTATTTTAAAGTATGAACTACAGGCAAAATCTAAAAGGACATACATAATAAAAAATTTCTGATTTAAAAGACATAGTAAATATAAATGAATTAACTCACACAACCTACTTACACACAAACAAAACCAGAATAAACAACAACTTGTAGGAACCACCTCTAGTTGATTTCACCACTTAACAGGAGCAAGATCTTAGGTGGATCATTTTGTTTAAGGATGACTTGAAATTTGACAATACTGCCTTAGCTCCCACATATGAAAACTCTTCAAGATTTTTTTCTTATCAACTAGAAGTTGGGGAAAATACAGTAAGAAATAAAATGAAATGACTTCTCACACATATGAAGGCCCGGATCATGCCTAAATTTCTAGTGATTTAACTTAAGAAGCTCCTTGCCCTGAGAGATTTCTTTATCCCACAACACTTTACTCAGAGAAGAGAATCCCAGGACACTACCCAAGCCACAGGTTAAAAACACGACCTGTCTTCTATCTGGCACCAGTAGACTAATATCTATCTATACACAGGACTGACTTTAAAGTTGGTTAACAAGTATTTTAATTCACTAAAATAAAACTTAGAAATTACATGCTTAGTCTACACAAGTTTAACTTACTTTAGTCACTTAGTGAATTGTGAATTGGCTCCCATTAGTGGTCAGGAGAATGCTTTGTATTTGGTGTCGAAACCAAATAAATCAAGCTATTATCGCCTTGTGAGTACAAACAATGTTTATTTGTTTGTAAAGGGCCAGTTTTATATTTAAGTAAACATTAAAATCTGTGTTGAAGCAGGGAGGCTGCATCTTTCAACTGCCTGTGCTGGTTAAATGATTGTTTAATCCTGCTGTGCCAAGCTCACTAGAGGGTCACCCCTCACTTTAAAGCCAAGACTGCCATTGTCCCTGCTATGGTAAGTCACAGCCAGCCAGGCCTGCTGGCAAAAGGTGATACTACCAGCATTATAAATACACAGGACTGTTTGTGAGGTAGCTACACAGTTTTAAAGATGCTGTTAATGAACATGATGGACAATTCATGGTGTGGCTAGTTGATAACACTTCAGCTGATTTTTTTATGAGATGGGAAAAAAAAATCAGCAAAATAAGGGCACATCTTCAGTTCATTTAGAAGTCAGCATCCAAGGTAAAAGAATTCTCTGTTGGATTCGACACCACTCCCATCCTCTGATACTCCTTTACTCTCTTCTCAAAGAAGTTCGTCTTTCAGTGAAATATTCTCCATAAAGTCAAATGGGTTCTCTACTCTGAAAACCTTGCTAAAACCCAGTTCCGGCATGTCTGTCTGCCACAGACTCAATGTATTGCTTCATTAGAGTGCAATTCATCCCAATGAGCTTCACAGGCAAGGCCTCAGTGAGGAATTCCTGTTCTATCCGAACAGCATTGATAATTCTTTCTCTTATTCTCTCCTCCAGTGGTTTGTGTGCCAGGTGATTGAACATCAGGCAAGCAAAACCACAGTGTAAACCCTCATCTCCACTAATAAGTTCATTGGAAAAGGTGAGGCCAGGCATCAGTCCTCGTTTCTTGAGCCAGAATATCGATGCAAAATAACCAGAAAAGATGCCTTCCGCTGTAGCAAAGACTACAACACGTTCCCCATAGGTAGCTGCTTTGTCCCCAATCCAGTGCAAGGCCCAATCTGCCTTCTTCTTGACACAAGGCATCGTTTCAATGGCATTGAAGCGAAATTCCCTTTCTTTGGGATCTTTTATGTAAGTGTCAATAAGGAAACTATACATTCCAGAATGTATGTTTTCCATGGCAATTTGGAAGCCACAGAAACAGCGGGCTTCTGTCACCTGAACTTCTTGGCTACATCGCTCCACCAAGTTTGCATTTACTATGCCATCACTTGCTACAAAGAAAACCAGAACATGGGATAGAAAATCTCTCTCCTCGGGCTTCAGGGATTCCCAGTGCCAAATGTCCTTGGACAGGTCCACCTCCTCCGCGGTCCAGAAGGAAGCTTCCGCCTTCTTATACATCTGCCAGATATCATGGTACTCGGTGGGGAAGATGACAAAATGGCAGGGGTTTTGTCTCAGCAGCGGCTCATCCTCCATGCCGGAGGCGGCTGCTTTAGTTTTCCGCTCCGCGGGCTCCTGGAAGATCCTCCTCGCGGTCTTGCTGGCCAGGACGCGGGTCCCGCTCAGGGCCGGCGGCGTGTTCTCCTTGTAGCCCAGGCTGAGCCCCTTCAGCCGCGAGAGCTGCAGCTGCTGCGGGTCCGCGATGTGCGCTAGCGGGACGCGGACGGAGAGCCCGGTGGCGGTGCAGCCAAGGAGAGTGAGGGGCCTGACCGGGCGGCTGGGACGGGGTGCACCGAAAATGTCTCATTTTTAAGAAAAATGATTAACAGGCGTTGACTTGTTTTTGTTGAACCGCTATTGTAGAAAGCGCTTTATAATTTGCTTGGGGTATTAACCAGGATCTAGTCTGTAGTTCACAGTCTCATCAGAGCACGTAAATATTTCAGTCTTAGTGTCTCATTTAAAGCTCAATGAATATTTAATAGAAGTTAACCAACAAAATAACTGCAAGAATTATGTTGCATTTAGTTAGACCTGAAATGAGCAAGCTCTTCATTTTCTCAAGTAGTCTGAAGCTAAAATTATTCCGGATTCACGAAATATTCTACATAACCTTATAAGTAATTAAAGGCCTGCAAAATAGGCTTGAAAGGCATATATTAAATATTGAGAAAAACATGAAATGACTTTTTGACTTGAAATGCAAGAGAATAGTTTAATATTAATACATTGTGGCCTATGTTACTTATTCAGTAGTGGATTAGTTTTAAAATATTGTCAATACCCTCTTTTTTACATGAGGTAAAAATAGAATCTTTTCTTTGGCCCATGCAAAGTAAACATCCTATAAGATTGAGAGTAACAGAAAACTATGCATAATCCACCCAAGTCAGTCAGTCCAGAATTATTTTTGGGCTCTGGGTCCAGCACTGAGCCAGGTACTGAAAATAATCCAAGAAAAGAAAAGAATATTGGCCCATGTTGAAAGGAGAGATGGTTTCCCAGGAAGGAAGCCTCCCTGTGGTCTGTTAGATCACTGTTGGCTTCAAAAAAAAAAGTGCACTCTAATTGATCTACCCTATCACAGATGACATGGGGATGTGTCAATTCTACCAAATTTGAGGACATTTTAATTAGAATCAAAGTACTGCCAATCAATCCATGTTGAAAGCTGCTAAAAACCACCTGGTAAACTTAGCATGCTATGGTTTCCATTCTTTATCTAGTCCTGAACTATCTTGCACTTACAGGATCTAAAATAATCTAATAACTAGTTCTTTCTGGAGAACAGAACATTGGGCTGGGATACAGGGCTGTCTGATAAACACAGCATATCCATATAGCTGGTTGCCTTTTCTTTCCTTTGATCTTAGCCTTTTTTAAAAATATTCAAATACATTCCCTTTTCTAACTGCCAATATGTCCATATGTATGTGTGTGTGTGTCTGTGTATAGACATATACATTAAAAAATTCCAGCTCTTGTCTAATAATGGCATCGCTTCCTTTCACTATTCTTCTTGCCATATCACATTTTAGCCCTTAGGGATGGAGAATCATTACTATGGTTTATTACTAGTTAGTATGGAGAAAAGAAGAGAAGGCATTTTTCTATTCCTATGTAAAGCCACGTTCAGACTCAAATACAATTATTTAGTCAATGGCAACTCAAAACCAAAAGTGACAATCTGACCAGACTCTGAACAGGACAGATTATCCTGTTCAGTGAAGATGAGAGAAAGGTTAATAAGCATTAGCCAAGAAAGATAAACATGTGGCATCCTGCAACCAATGTGCCTGACAAAAAAGAGCAGAGCAAGAATAATTTTTCTTTGTTTAGGATACTTTGAATTTATCTTTTCAGAAGAACTAACCTTAGTCAAAAGAAGCAAAATTTCACTTAGAAGGAATACGTTTAAGAGATCTATTGTATAACACAATGACTATAGTTAATAACAGTGTATTGTACACTTGAAAATTGTAAGACAATAGATGGTGTTTTCATCACAAAGAGAAGCACATGAGGTAATGCATATGTTAATTAGCTCAATTTTGCCATTCCATAGTGTATACATATTTCAAAACATCATGTTGTACACCATAAATATATACAATTATGTTTGTCAATTTAAACTAATAAAGACAAGGGGAGAAACACTAAAAATAAAACACTAAAAATAAAGGCAATAATAAGTAGAAAAGGCAAAAAGAAAAAGAATTAGCCTTAACATTTACACTGAAGACTCCTACTTTCTCAAAGCTATTTAGCATCTGTAAAATTCTAAGATGCATTCCTCCCAATGTCATGTGACTTACCTGTTTATCAAAGGCTACCCATGATGGTACATCACTTCCATCTCCTTTAGGATATATGCTACATTTCGGCTTTATCTTTTGTCCCAGAAGTGGTTCTCCACCTATTCCAGGCTTTTCATCACTCACTAACATCATAACATTGTTGCAAAAGCCCCAATGTTGGGATTTGTGAAACTTCTCCTTTCCCACCTGTGAACATAAGAGGCAACATAAAATAGCCAAAATTACTCTTTATGACTTTTCTAACCCGTTTGTAAAACGTCAACACATTTTCTTACCATGTATTTTTCCCTCACAAAATGCAAATAAAATGGCAAATAATTATGATCAATCTTTATCCATAAAGTTGTGTCACATTCTTAATTCATTTTAACCAATTCAAAACATCGAAAGGCAGTAAACATAAACCTAATGCTCCATGCTATATAAAACATTTAAAAATGACTATTACTGCAAGTAAATATTTAGAACATTAGCTTCCTAATTGGTCTTTCCTACTTGTTTGCCAAGAATACGAACAGAAAAAAAAGAAAAGAAAAAACTGCTCTGCTTCAGAATAAAAAGTGTATGTAACTGTTTTCCACAGAGGTCTAAACATTATTTTCACCAAAACAGAGAACAAAATCTTTTCCTCATTAAAGTAAATGTAACAGGAAATTCTTCAGAGCTGACATTCTCCTTTAATTGCAAAACCTTATCTCCCACCTTTTCTGGTGATCTGGAGAGAAAGGAGAAATCACAGATACAACTACCAAGGGTTGGCAAGGACATAGCCAACATCAACATTTGTGCACTGCTGGTGGGAAGGTAAAGCAGGACAATCACTCTGAGGAGCGATGTGGCAATACGAACAAAGAGAGAGGCATGTATGTCCTATGGCCTAGCCAGTCCACTCCCACACAAGTATTTTCTCTTAGGCACAAGGAACTGCATACCAGACTATTTGTTATAGCACTGTTTGCAAAAGTGAAAAATAGGAAACCACTAAAATGTCTACCCATAGCAGAAAAGATACATATATCTCTTTATAAAATGGAATATTAATACAAAGTCTCATATTACATATATCAATATAGACAAATTTAGGCCAGGCGCAGTGGCTCACGCCTGTAATCCCAGCTCTTTGAGAGGCTGAGGCAGGAGGATCATCTGAGGTCAGGGGTTCAAGACCAGCCTGGCCAACATGATGAAACCCCGTCTCTACTAAAAATATAAAAAATTACCCGAGCATGGTGGTGGGCACCTATAATCCCAGCTACTTGGGAGGCTGAGGCAGGAGAATCATTTGAACCTGGGAGGCAGAGGTTGCTGTGAGCCAAAATCATGCCATTGCACTCCAGCCTGGGCAATAAGATCAAAACTCTGTCTCAAAAAACAAACAAACAAAAAAAACAGACAAATCTCAAAAACTGTCAGGCAAAAAATACAGGTAGCTGAAGTACACATAAAATTTCACAACACATATATAAGGCTGGAAAATACCCTAAAAATATGGTAATATTTATGGATAATACATGCATAGAAATAAGCGGCACATTCAAGATTATATAATGTTCACGATAATAAATGAACACTCATATGCCCCACAGCCCTGCATAAAAAATAAACACCTCAGAGATAACTGAAGCTTTATCTCAGAGCTCATAGCCCTGCCTCCCTTCTCCAGAGGTAACCATTATCCTGAATTTGCTTCTTTAATATTAGCACATTGCCCAGGACTGTATATAGCCAGGGCAATAGCCTCTTGCAAAACATGATGCCTTGGCAGAGAAGTCTGATAGGGTCAAAAAGACCTCATTTCCTTTTGTGGAAAAAGGCAGCCTGGAAGAATGAGGAAGGCCTGAGCAGCCCTCCCCAGGGGAGTCAGGGCCATAACAGCTGCCCTGGGCAGATAACAGCCCCGCTCTAGGGCTGGGAGAGGAAAGCTAGATGCAGTGGTTAGGATGGTGAGCTATAGCTGGCTCTGCCCCTTAGGGAATCAATTGTCACTACCTCCACCATTCCCTCCACTCTGTCTCTCTGTCTCTGTCTCTCTCTCTCACACATACACACACACACACACTTGCTCACACATACAATCAGATTACCACAAGGCAGTCCCAGATCCCCATAAAACAAAGCAAAAGTTGCCTTTCAGAAAATGAATACTGGGATAATATAGAATTTAATAATGATATACTGTCTCCTAAAGCAAGTAACTCCGAGTAATCATAAAGTCACCTCAAACCAACAAATGTTTCTTAAGTACTTACTATAGTCCTAGCTTTGTGCCAAATATACGAGTTAAAATAAGCATAAGACTCAGCCCCTGCCCCGAAGAAAAAAACCCACAATCTTGTGGAGGAAGCAAGATTTAGATATATAAAATGATACAGTTTGGATGTTTGTCCTCTCCAAATCTCATGCTGAAATGTGATTCTCAGTGTTGGAGGTGGGGCCTGGTGGGAGGTAATTGGATCATGGGGGCAGATCTCTCATGAATGGTTTCACACCATCCCCTTAGTGATAAATGAGTTGTCACTCAGTTAGTTCACATGAGATCTGGTTGTTTAAAAGAGTCTGGGACCTCCCCCTTCTCTCTCTTACTCCCCCTTCTCTCTCTTACTCCCACTCTCACCATGTGATATACTGGCTCTCCCTTTGCCCTCCACCTGATTGGAAGCTTTCTGAGGCCCTCATCAGAAGCAGATGCCAACACCACACTTCGTGTACAGCCTGCAGAACCATGAGCCAATTAAGCCTTTTTTTTTTTTAATAAATTACCCAGCCTCACGTATTTCTTTGTAGCAACACGAGAACAGCCAAATATAGAAAACAACTAGAAAACAGTACAGCTACCATTTTTGACCACTTACTATGAGCTGGATGCTTTACTAAGGGTTTTATATCTCATTTATGATCTCAGTTCACTGTCACAAAACTGTTTTATCAGTGTTATTACTGCCATTTTTCCAATGAGGAAACCAAGGCAGAGAGAGGGAGACTGGCCCACCCAAAGTTACACAGTAACTACTGGAGCCTGAGATCTGAACCTAAGATCATGTGACTCTAAGCTCTGGTAAGTGTATGGCTAAGTGTATGGCTGACCAGAGCCACACACTGATGTGCTGGAGTAGTAGTGTTGAGGTTCTGTGGATAACTGGATACTGTCTTGGGCCTGGAGGAATGAGATGAATTAGATAGTAGAAGAGAGGCAAGGATGTTCCAAGCAGGGTTATGAGTGATGTACTGCAGCTGAGCTGACAGCACTTAGGGAGAGGGGCAAATCTAGTAAAAAAGAAAGTCAAGGTCAAGTTTGGAAGGAGGGTGAGCTAGAGTAGAATATATAAGGAGGACTATATCATGAAAAGCCTCTCACGTAAATATCTTAAAAGTCTCCTTCATCAGGCCACTGGAATATTTACTAAGGCCTAATACTGGCCAGGCCCTATTCTAGAGAGTATGGTATAAAGATGAAGTCACAGCCAGCCTTCCTCCCCCGAGGAACTTTCTCCACTACTCACAAGTTTCCTCCATGGATCTAGGTTTCCATAATCACATGGAAGAAGCCCTTGCCACCGTTGAAGGCCTCACTCAGCTACCTATCCCCCAGAATTCCACAATTTGTTCATGTGTAACCCCCTCTTCGGTCAGACCACATCTTACAGCTTACAAGGTACCTTAACATCTATTCAAAGTCATGTCCCTGGTCAGGCTATACCTCTACACAAACCGCTCTCCCCACCAAGGGCCAGCTCACATCCCACTACATAGTCATCCCTTCTACAAACATCTGGTGAGCATCCATTGGGTGCTAAGTTGTGAGAGACTTTGGGGACATGGCCTTGGGCAAGCCATAGCTCCCAACCCTAGTAAAGAAGCCAGTCACTATGGCTCTGGATTTGGCAATGGGTTTCATACACGTGGCACCAAAAGCACAAGCAACAAAAGGAAAAATAAATTGGACTTCATCAGAATTAAAACTGTGTGTCAAAGGATACTATCAAGAGAGTGAAAAAACCCATAGAATGAAGTTTGGATGAGGTGGCTCAAGCCTGTATCCCAGCAACACTTTAAGAGGCTAAGCTGGGAGAATCACTGGAGCCCAGGAGTTCAAGACCACCCTGGGCAATAGAGTGAGATGTCATTTCTAAAAAACAGAGAAACCCAGAGAATGACAGAAAATATTTGGAAATCATATAAGGGTCTATTATATAGAATATATAAAAATTCTTACAACTCAGCAGAAACACAAACAATTCAATTTAAAAATGGGCAAAGGATGTGGTAGACTGCCATGGTTACTACTTGAGACCATCACCATGACAGTTATTACTGTTACTACTTAAGACCATCATTACGACAGTTACTACTGTTAGTACTTGAGACCGTCATTACAAGACTGAATGAACGGGAACAAACATAGAAATGAAAACTTAGGACAAAAGAAACTGTTTTAAAGGAAGAGTCCAGGGAAGAAGAGAGCTCTCTGCTTCTAGTGAGCAAAGGCAGCCCTCCCCCCGCCGCCGCCGCTCCCGCATTGAGCTTCCACAGCCCTTTGTATTTATTGGGTAGAATGAGCAGGGAGGAGGTAATGATTGGTCAGCTCCTTAATTGATCACAGGTTCATATTATTACTAACAGGCTTCAGATGTACCTAATCACAAGAAACACTGCGCTTGGGGCATGACTGCCCTCAGCATTCCTTCCGGGTGGCAGACACAGTTTGTCAGTTTGCCAACATTCTGCATTTATGAGAAACAGTTTGCTGTTTACTCATATAGCCTCCAGTGGTATACTGAGTTGACCATGACCCTCATTCTTTCGGCGTGTAACAAAAGGACTTGAATACACATTTCTCCAAAGAAGATATACAAATGGCCAACAAGCACATGAAAATATGTCCAATGCCATTAGTCACTAGGGAAATGTAAAACAAAAGTACAATGAAGCCAGGCACACTGGCTCATACCTTTAATCTCAATACTTTGGGAGGCTTAGGCAGGCAGATCACTTGAGTCCAGGAGTTTGAGACCAGCCTGAGCAACATGGTGAGACCTTGTCTCTACATAAAATACAAAAATTAGCCAGGCATGGCGGTGCATGCCTATAGTCCCAGCTACTCGGGAGGCTGAGGTGAAAGGATCGCTTGCGCTCATGAGGCTGAGGCTGTAGTGAGGTATGAAGCTATGATCGCACCACTGCACTCC